TAAATGAAACTTAGGTTGGGGATTCAAAAGTGAATTATTGGTATGAATTATCTGATAAATATTATATTATATATTGTGCATTATGTATTAAATATTGTATATATATATTGTGCTCCGTAATACATAACAAGTTAATAAAACAACGCTTAGAAGTCATAAAGACAATTTTATGTTCTTATCATTTCTTTGTTCTTATCATCAGCCCATATAAGCTCACAATAAGGAAAGTGTCGATTTGAAATTGCGAAAAGAGGGCTTTTCGCTTATGAAATATTAATACGTTATTGGAAAATAGGAAATATGTGTATATAGTATCTCATATCTACTGATAAAATCTAACGTAAAAAATATATTGTATTTTTACTAAAATAGACGCACATAAATTATTTTGGAATGATCTAGTTAAAAAGCAATAAAAGTGACTGCTGTTTATTTATTCCATTTGTAAAAATTACCATTTTTAATAAAAGAAAGGTTAAAAATTGTCTATTACACGCGTAATTGTTAATTAAATAAGTAACTACTAGGTTTCCTTTAACGTTTCTCTATTACAACCAATGTTATGTTCCTCTCCGTAGAATGCAATAAAGAACGGCTTAGAGCAGCATAGATCCAAAAAATTCTTGCATGTTCCAATGTTAACTTCTTTTGGTGGCGAATCACTCCGAAATGAAAATCAAATGTAAATATTATCATAGCTTTTCTATGTAATATTATATAAAATAAAAAACCAAAAAATCAACAAAGGAAAACATAATAACTATTCCATTTCCATTTACTGGACATATTCCTTTTCATTTACTGGATAATGCATAAATGTGTCTTTCAGATACTATAAATATTACAAACCTTCAAAACTTGCCTGTCAACAACAGGATGTAACAATGGACAAAGGAGATTGGGATGAAAAGGTATTTGGAACTTTTTTCAATGACGAGCGAAGCCTTTATGTAAGTTATACTGAACCACATATTCACGAAAAGTCCCCTTCCACTAGCTGTTTTACCGCGTATTTTTTGCAATCATTTTATCTACTTTTGTAAGGATATGAAGGCTATTGTTTTAAAATAGCATCGTAATAAAGAATTCAACATAGTTGTTACTTTTAATTTTTTATTTTTTTTGAAACAACGTGTAGTGTAGTGTATATATTTTTCGTTTTTTATTTTTATTTCATCACATACAGATACAAAATTTAAATAATATAATAAACTTAAGTTTATAATAGTAGAGATTAACAGAGTTCCCGCCTTATAAATGTCTTTATTACGTATCAAATTTCGGGTCAAAACAAACTGCGCCAAAAGAATTAAAATGATACAAATATACTAAAGAAAAATCTACCATTCTACTATTGATCACGCACTGGCGGCAGGACTTCTTTTCTGCTTACTTCTTTTCTTCTGTTTAGGTATCACACCCTTACCTACTTTAGCCAATAAATAGCAGTACATGCACAGCTGTGTTACGATGTGAAGTGTATTCCACAGGTTGTGAGGCCTTCTTATTTTGGGTTGCAGGTATCTATGAACTGCACCAGGAACTTACCATCAGGTGGACTATCAGCTTGTTTGTCAGTTCAGTTACATACAAAAAATAAGATGTACTCATTTCTTGTGATATGAAATTGCAAAAATATCAAATTCCACCAAAACATAACATAGTGAATAGTTACATAGCAGTAGAAATATATTCAGCTTCACCGATAAAGTACCTAATTGAAACCTGCTGGGGACCAAGCTCCATAGCAGTTTCGAGAACGTACATTCCCATAGATAAACAGCTGAAAGAAAAGTTGTCTAGCCAGTATAATAACTTGAAGGTATACGTGTTCACCCACGTGTACTAAGATGAAATATTTTGTAATCATTAAAAAGGGTAACCGGTTCTCTACACGCAACATACGTTATAAACACAGCAACATTTTTCTGGGTTTTCTAGCTGCATGCTTTGAAACTTGGTCCTCCCCGGTCGAGTTGACACATTCGTGCATCAAGCATAATATAGTAGCAACGTGGCTCTAATACGTATGAAATTTTACCGTTTGATTTGTAGAACCCAAAGGTGTATAAAAAGGTAGAACCTACAATATATGTAAGTTTGAGTTTTAGTTTTCGAATTTATAAAATTTTATATTCCCATTATTTGTATATTTATGTTTAACATTTAAAAAAATCTTTTTAATATATTAAAACTATGTCTTAAATATATAATTAGTCTCTTAAATGTTATAATTATTCTAAACAACGAAAAAATATGCGCGTAATCAATATTATGTTTGATAAAGTCGATACAATTATACAGTGTGATAATATTGTTTGTAAACATATCAGTTTTAGATGACTGATGACACAGGCCTTATCTGAGTTAAATTAACATGGAATCCCGGCAACCATTTAAGGGATATTTTGTGTATCGTGGGGATATCCCTGGATGCGTAAGCATATGCATAGGTATAGGTGTGCCTTGAAGACAAACTCCTTTTCCTTTTCCACCTGAAGCAAAAGTGCACCGAAACATCAGGCCTGCCTTTTTATACGGTCTCCCTCTTTTCGTGCACAGTAGATTGATGTACTAGGAGTTTACCAACTTTATCTCAATTGGCAACTCAGGGATCTAAGGAACCAATAAATGCAGTCCAGTTTAACAATCAATAAAAAAGCGCTTTGTCCCTCCTCAATTTCAGGGCACTTCTCTTGCTGCTTTAGCCAGCATCGGTTTCCATGGTGTCGACATTTCGTGAGAAAAACAGTTCCGCAGTTATTTTGATGGAGGTCCACTAACCGAGCGATTAACGCTGAATTTTCTGCCCCGCGCGATCACACCGTTGAATTTACTGTCATCGGCCGTTTTTTACGGATCGATACAATTTAGAAAACTTAAAGAAAAGAGTCTAATTATTTCTAAAAGCTCAGCAACGCACCTGCAATTCCCTTTTTTGCAGGATGACGGTGAACACATACCATGAAGTGAGCCGTATGCTCGCCAGCCTACTCTTCAATAAAAATAATGCAGTAGTTGAAATTGCCGAATATGCAGAACCCAATTGTTACCGAGTTGAGTCTGGTATATTTTTCAAGATTTGCAGACCAGCATCAGCAACTGCCAAATGTATTTAGAGAGACTAGACTAGAATGGAAGCAAACAAATACGGATTTATAGTGACTGGTAAAAATTGAAACTAGGCTAAAGGATTCAAGAAGTGAATCCCTTACCTAAGTTTATTATAATTAAATATTAGTTTTAATTTATGTTGGCAATAAGTAGTAATTAGTGTTAGTTTGAATTATCCGACAAATATTATAAAATAATATTATATAATATTTTTTGTTGTGCTCCGTAATCCATAAAAAGTTAATAAATAAGTTAATAAAACAACGCTTAGAAGTCATAGAGACAATTTTATATTCTTATCAGCCCATATAAACTCACAATAAGGAAAGATTCGATGTGAAAATGCGACAAAGTGCCCTTTCGCTTATGAAATATTAATAAATTATTGAAAGATAGATAACAAAATAGACGCACATGAAATATTTTGGGATGATCTAGTTAAAAAGCAAAAAAGTGACTGCAGTTTATTAATTCCATTTGTAAATAATGATTTCTTATATTTACGCGAACACTATACATGATTAAAACTACTTTTACGGATTTTATCGCGTTTATTTTTACTTTTTATTTACTTTTATTTTTAATTCCCGACGTTTCGGGCGCTTTCCAGCACCCATGGTCACGGGGGACTGAGATGACTGACGTCCCGATGTCATTGTTAAACCCGGAGTACCTTCAGCTTTTTTAATTATTGTTTATGGTCCGATCTATGCAAAATGAACTGACTATGTCCTGAGGTCTTGCAGTGGTATGCTTGGGTTTAGTTTTAATTTTATTGATTATAGGATCCCAAGCAGGTAGTAGTACCCAGCCTCCTTCTCTATTGAAATTAGGATGTTTTTTAATTTCAATAGCCTCACGTAACATCCTTGGTAGGAAGCGGTGTTCTTTCGCGAGGATTTGTGGTCTATCAAATCTGATGTAATGGTTGGGTCCGTCTAGGATATGATCACAAAGTAGTAGAAAGTCTGCAGTTTGTGATAATAAAGTTTAATGTTTTGACCCTTTTGAGTGAAATACATAAATTCAGTTAAAACAAAAACATCGTCACTATTTTTTAATTGCTATGTAAGGATTTTTTCCTAAAATTTGAAAGGGAAGTATTTAGATCTCAAGAAGTTTAGTCACCCTTGTTTAAAAAAAATTGGCTCGAAATTGACGCATACTTCGTTCAACATAAGAGTAAATACAGTAAATAAGACGGTCAAATCGATAAACTCGTCCATACGTCCGCTAATAAATTCCAATTTTTACGATTAAAAAATTGAACTTTTCTATAAACTAAGCTCATAATTGGCTACTACAGTGTATGGCCAACTGAAGCCAACATAAAACAAAGGTGGCTACAGTGCGCTGTCACCAGCCTGTAATTATTTAGATAAAATAATTTTAACGACCGCGTTGAACTCGAATAAGGAAAACACGACGTAAATATTAAGGGTAAAGTCCCTGTACCCCTGGAAACATTTATGCCGTACTAGTAACGGAAAATGAACATTAATACAATTCTCGTATAAATACAGGCGATATGGAGGTACCACGACAGACACAAACCAACATTAGAGACTGTAACACAGAAGATTGAAAAAGGTAAGGAATTTTGTTAATATCATGCAGCTTAACATTTGGATAATTTTAATTACTGAATTAAACTGATCTTTAAAGTTGAACTTAGTGATAGTGGTTTACTTTAAATATCACATTTTCAACTGCTAATTATGAAACCCCCACTATATTTTCAATAATTTAACTAAGTGTTAATTCTTTATTTCTATTATATTTTGCTAATATTTTACCTTTTATCATTTTATTACAGAAAAATGCATCATCATCAGTTAGCGATTCTTGGTTTTGTTTTAATCGCATTCACTAAGCTAGTTTCATGCATGTCTATTGAATGTATGCAAAGTCACAGGTAAGTAATGATTAATATTATTTCAAAGTGCAATACATTCTTACTCGTCTTGTTAACTTGCGTTTAATCTCGAAATAGAAGCACTGAACTGCCTCGGCCAGTCCAGTAATGTAATTTTGAGGTTCATCATCTGGGCCTTTTTCATTTTTTTTTTTCATACTTATACTAGACTTTATTAAATATGTTCTCAAAATGAACTAAAAATTATACGCCTTTTTATTTTTTTATAAATATTAAATGGCTTTATTATGGAATTTCTGCAGCACTTTTAAATAGTTATTTAGTATATATTTTATTAGAATCAGGAGTTACTTTGTGGAAGTCCATTATATTTAATATGTTAACATTGATCAGATAAGATCCGCATCAATACGTTAGAGTTTTAGTTTTTTTTTTTACAAACCTGCTTATATTATTGAAAGACATGTATGTAAGCAATTTACTACTTTCTACGTATATTTTAGGATAGATCCAACACGACCGTGCGATATGACATGGGGCAAGCAAGTTGGCAAGGGAACCGTTTTCGGGACATTGGGTAATAGTGATCAAGGGCTTTACGTGAGTTTTGTTTGTTTAAAAAAATTGCATAATCTTAAATTAGAATGAATATAATTGCTCCATAACCCCTTTCAAAGTAGAGAAGTCCTTTGTCCAGCTGGAAGTAAGAAAATAGTTATCTAATCAAAAGACCAAGTGTTTATTTAAAATAATTGTCTTTAGGGTAAAGGAGGTTACAAGCAAGATATTTTTAATGATGCTAGAGGGAAATTGGAAGGGCAAGCGTATGGAACTAGAGTCTTGGGACCTAATGGTGACTCTAGTTCACTTGGTGGAAAACTGGACTGGAACAATGTAAACAAGGATGCCAGAGCTACTTTAGAGATAACCAAGCAGATACATGGACCTACTAACGTGAGTGCTTTACATTTGAAACTTGAATATATTATAATGATGGGATATATATATATATATATATATATATATATATATATATATATATATATATATATATATATATATATTATAATGAATATATATAATGATGGTATTTTAACGGATCTTTACATCTCTATAATGTCACGAGCAAACCTACAAAATAATATATAGCAGTGGGCTTAAACTTGCATCATGTCTTGTTGATTCGAAAAAAAAATTGTATAAGCTCAAACATTGATTTCTGTTGATATTCACGTTAAGAGCTGCTACATATTAATCTAATAAACCACTTGTAATCTATGAAAATTACATATATTTCATATTTCAATCAACATAAATTGTTTTATAAATGTGTCTGCTACAAAGTGTTTCACAAGCATTGTAAATTCACAAATTTATATTATAGCTGGACGCATCAGCATCTAAAGTGTGGAACTTTGACAAGAATACTCGTCTATCAGCTGGTGGGACTGTAACGCAAGATCTTGGTCACGGAAAACCCGACTATGGTGTCGGTGCTACTTTCCAACATGACTTCTGATTGTTCCCGAGAGAATTTATATACTGATATAATACAATAAAAATACTACCAAAAAAACTATATTTTTAATTTTTAGCAATAAATAAACGCCATAGCATGGTCTTAAGATTTTCGGGGCATTTCCCTAAGCCGTCTTTTACGACAATCACGATGTGATGCGATTGATATGGATTAAGGAATGTATTTTAATATTCTTACACCCTCACCAAAGGGGTCTTTTTACCAAAATATGAATGTATATTTTCAAAGTAGGAATATTTAAACCGTGTTAAAAGTTATTCGTGCAACGCTATTGTAGATTAGTGCCCGTCAGGTTAATGTACTCCAGCATTAAGGATGGAAACGAAACTGGAGATGAGCAGCAACATCTTCCTGGTAACAACTTTTTATCAGCTCCGTAGCCCAGTGATCGAGTTACTGTGCTGAAAGCCGCAAGTGCGAATCCTACATGAAACTATACTCGTATGGCCTACAAATAATTTTTTAAATGTTTACTCTTAGGGAGAAAATACATGGGTTATATTTTAGCAAACAACACAATATTAATCAGAATAATTTAAAAAATGTTGCAGCCATTTTTATGCTAACTGTAGTAAATATTTGGCCCTTTGCTAGGCCATGTATGCGGGAAGGAATTCCCTAAGTATGATATGATGATGATGGTGATTATGATTATGAAAGCTAATACTCTAGCATTTATGATGGAAATGAAACAGGAAAGGGACAGATATCTTCTTTCACAGAAAAACTGTGCTTAAGTCTTTGGGATTCATATGCCAAGTATGGCAACTATGGCAAATATATGGGGAATCCCTATCAGAAAAATTAGAAGGCCTTTGTTGAGCAGTAAACTTTTGGAAGACTGAAATAAATGACTTAAAGACTGTGAAATATTAAGTTTATTGTTGTCGATTTCTTATATTTACGCGAACACTGCACGTTGAATAAAACTATTGTACATATTTTATCGCTTTAACTAATTTATTATTAATTTTCAACGTTTCGGGAAGTACCGGGAAGTCTACAGTCTGTAAACATGTTCAAGATCGTCTCCACTATTACATCAGATTTGATAGACCACAAATCCTTGCAAAAGAACATCCATTACTATTACTATCAATTACTATCAAGGATGATACGCGAGGCAAATGAAATTAAAAAAAATGCCAATTTCAATAGAGAAGATGAGTGGGTACTGTCATCTGCTTGGGATCCTATAATTAACAAAATTAAATCCAAACCCAAGCATACCACTGCAAGACTTCAAGATATTGTAAGCTCGTTCTACGTAGATCGGACCAAAATTGAATACTAAAAAACTGAAGGTAGCCGTGCTAACTATGACATTGGGACAAAAACATCTCAGTTCCTTAATCCCCTCCCTCCCCTCCCGTGACCATGTGTGCTGTAAAGCACTTGAAACGTCGGGAATTAAAAATAATTTAAACGCGATAAAATCCATATAAATAGTTTTATTCAATTATTATTATCGACTTAGGCCAGCTGTCGATTACTGCTGTTTTTTTCCAAGTTTAATAAATAGGATAAAATTAGAATGATAGCACGAAGATATTAAGGCAGTGCTTTGACAACGCAATTCTTTCATATTGTACATATTTAAATTTGTATTTGATAAAAATAAGGGTTTTCCCTACCCTGTATTAAATATCGACGGAAAAAAATAGGGTAACAACATTTTTTGATGACAAATTTTTGGCAGCACCTTAGCGCAATGCATTGTGTTGTTCAGTACAATTGAGGGCTGTGGCTTCAAATCCCACACGAAACAAGTATACGTATGGCCTACCAATAATTGTTCCTGGTCAGAATATTTGGTATTTTGCAATTTATGTACGTTTACTACTTTCACAATAAAGAAGAAAAAAATTTTTGCAGCCGACCCGTATGCTAAACGTATGAGGCAATGTATGAGTGAGGGAAGTTCGTAAATAAGTAGATTTCCAACAGGCTATAGTGATGATGATAATGGTGAAAGTTATATTGCAATACGTTAAATACATTTCATATGAAATCATTTGGTCAGCGCACACCAAAAAAACAGCCTATTGACTCATTTTCTTCCGAATAGTATATTACAAACATATTATATTTTAGACATCTAGAATCTATCCCTATTCTCGGGTAAGAATCAAAATTCAGATGCGTTGCCACCCCTAAGGGTTTAGATGGAATGCCTCGTTTTCTATATAAAATGAATCTCCGGTTCTCTACACTCACTATGTGTAACCCGACAGCGTTAAGCTGCTATTTTATAATTGCTATTCTGTGAAAACGTGGTGCTTCTAAAGATCAACTGCCTCATTCTTGCTGCAAGCATAATATAGCTTCAGCATGGCTCTACCACAGGCAGCATATTATGTTACTCGGGTTTTTGACCACCTTTTACAAACTTATCCCTTTAAAGTACTATAAAAGAGAACGAAGTATTAGTACGAGAACTTTTAGCCACATCCAGTTTAAAATTTATAACAAAGTTTTCTTTCTTTTATTTACATTCACGGTCTACGTTTCTATGCTACTGAAGCTACAAAGAGAAATAAGAATTTATATTTTGATTGCACTGCATCTATTAAAATTACTGTAAGGTCCAACTTGGACGTTTGAAGTTGGACGGTTGGACGATCGTGTAGTTGTCAGCATGAAGCATTTTTATCGGATGTACCTACCGTGAAACAAAAGTGAGTGCTCCGAAGTAAAATAGTCTATTGTGTAATGTGTGGCTAGTTTGTGGGAGTGAAATTGGTATTGTTGAAATTATAACTAGAGATGGGCCGAATATATGTTTTATATTCGGTATTCCGCATATTCGGCAGCTTTACCGAATATTCGTATTCGGCCGAATATTCGGCTAAATTACCGAATATTCGTTTTCATAGTGTCCAATATATTGAAATGTACGAATTGACTAATGCGATGTATTTTACTGTTGAAAGTGTATTTTATTTATGGGTTAAATGTACTTACTCCAGAGTGTCTCAAATGCATAAATCTATACATTTATGTTTTGAGGCACTGTAGATTTATTTACGATTATGGCTAATAGAAATTTGATAAAATGTTTTCTGACGTGTAAATCCAATACACTGTAACTCGAGTTACAGTGTTTTGCCTTAATAGCGCTCATTTGATTATTTAGAGGAAGCTACATATCCCTAAATTAATATTTTTTAATTTTTTAGTATGTAGAAGGAGATATGAGCACATACAAAAGACTGTATTTTAGTTACATTTATGGTTTGTTATGGCATAACACTGTGACTGAAGTTACAGTGTTTTAGCCGATTAACAAGATTAGTTGAAACTCTGAGATACAGTGTTTTGAATAACCAAACAAACTGGAGACGTCGTGCGCGGTGACATGTGTACGATACCCACGGGGCAGGAGAACGGGAGCTCAACGGTTAGTGGTCATGAACTCTTGCTTGGACGCGCGTACTGTGTTTTGATCGACAGCGTGCATACGCTGCTTTCTGTTTACGTTTGTTTTGGTAAGTTTGTGTAACTGTGTAAGAACAATAAAAATAAATGGATACCGTAATAAACTATTAGTGAAATTGTCACAAAGCAATATGCAACATCACAACAACTCATCATGTACCACAATGGTTTCAGAACTTAACAGAGTGTTAAATGAAAAAGAGAATATCAACGGCAGTAATAAGGAGCGTGCTGGTCATCAATCAATCAAATTCAATGTTATAGCAATCATATGATTACTTTTTCTCAAGAAAACTCATACTTTTCAAAAAATCTTTTGTGCCCCCAGGAAAAAACAAACAAACAGTCTCTGCAGTTTGGCAAGAAGGAGAAAGTGGTAGAAAAGCTCACAATATTGCTTCTACATACATTCATTTTCTCAGAAAATATTGCAGCGATCTAAATTCTGTAAAGTTTTTCTTAGATAACTGTAATGCGCAAAACAAAAACAAGATACGTTTGTCTGCTTTGATAGGAGTAATTAATGATAGAATGACAAATTTAGACAAAATTACTCTCGAATACTTTGAGCCAGGACACACTTTTATGGCCGCAGATGGTGTGCATGCTACAATTACAAAGAAATTGAAATCTAAGGGCCAAGTCTACGATATAGATGATTTTGTATTAGATATCAAAAATTCACAAAAAAACATGAAAGTCGATTTATTAGGTCACAAACAAATGATTATTCAGTAATGATTCCAAAGCAGAATTTCCCAAAGGGTATAAATATACATAACCTGAAAGTCATAGAATTCAGAAGAAATGAATTAACAATAATTGTCAAGAAGTATTATAACGCAGATTTTAAGGAGCAGATTTTTTTGAAAAAGAAAATAGAACTCGAATTGCGGAAAAAGAATACAAGGGGTGTAACTAATCTTTTGGAAGAGATACCTTAAGAGACCGAACCTAGAGATAGTAGCGAGACAATAAAAGAGAGTTATTAGCACTATGCAAATAAATGTCTCAAACAAGAATAATGTTCTATAAAAATCTTGTTGTCTTTATTCACCCGATCTTGATGAACACATTGACTCTGATTTAATATAGTAGGTCCTCAAAGTAATTCAATGCTGATTACTTATAAAACCTTGATCTTATTATTAAATTGTTCTATATTTTATTTGCGTTGTCAGTGTGCTAAGTTTGCTTTAGTTTTTTAACTAAGATTTGATTCGAAGAGATAATGATGATCTATTTGAAAATAATTCTTTCCTGAGTTGAACTTTTGTTAATTTCGTATTTTCGTTCTTCCGCGGCAGCGGGGTTTCCCCCCGGCATAGTGCCTCCGCGCGCCATTCGTGCAGGCGTGCGAGGACTATCGCCTCCAGATCCCATGGCGGCAATCCGGCAAGGAGGCTCGCCACCTCGTGGGATATCGTGCGGTAGCCGCGAACCATTTTCACGGCAACCACCCTTTGGGGCGCGTTCAGGTGGTGGACGGCAAGCCGCGCCAAACCACGCGCCCACACCGGGGCCCCGTAAAGGGCCATGGA